TTGGGAGGGGCACACACTGGACCTACAGCATGCTGTGTCACATCATGGCCTGTTGCATGACGTGACAAATCACATGGCCTACATCATGATGCTCTATATCATGTCACACATCATAGCGTAGCACATGGACCCATTTTAGAACGTGGCACATTATTGGCTTTGGAGATGCCTTGAAACGTCATGAGCCTTAAAACACGGTATGGGGCATTCTGGGCCTACATCATGGTATGGGATATGGTGGGCCTATATCATGGTGTAGGATATAGTGGGCTTAGATTATTGTGTGGAACATCATGGCATGGGACATAGTGGGCCTAACGCATTGTGCGGTTCATAATGGGCAAAATGAATGATGTGGGACATCGTGGGCCTTATCATTGCGTGGGACATTATGGCCTACTTCACGACTTAGCACATTATGGGCCTACATCATAGTATGGGGCATAGTAGGCCTACAACATGGTATGGGATATAGTGGGCCAAATACATCATGGCGTGGGACATAGCGGGCCCAATGCATGATGTGTAACTTCGTAAGCCTACAGAAGCGAGTCGCACGAGCAGCACTGAAAAGCTACACAGGCCACAACGTCCCGCAGCATGGAAGACTTTGAGCAAAAGTTGATCGCAGAATGGCTTCATTTATCTTTCTTGTAAGATCATAGAACAAAGAAAAGAAACAGAATATCGGACGGATGTGGTAATTAACACCAATTCAGTTTCCGAGCATGCTTTACGTGCGTGTTTGAGAATTCATCTTTTGGATTGCGGATATTTTTAAACTCCCACTATTCAGAAAAGACTCGCTACTATTTGTTGTCTATTTGGGACAGGACTGAGCCTATTCCAGAGAGTTATAAAGGCTCCCCAAAATAGAATGCCGTAGAGTTGTTGCCAAGAACGAACTCTTGACCCCCTGTATTAAAGAGCTAGTGCCTTTAAGCTCTATACCAGACAGATTTCCCCTTATTGACAAACGTACAAAAGTGTGGCCAGGTAGATATTTTACTTGAAAATATTGTAAACACACATCACACACTTTGGTCCCACCAACTACTTCCTTCTCTATGCAAAGTATTTAAAAACTCACGTAGACGAAAACACGACATGTTGATAGAGTATAGCGAAAAAAAATACATAACAAATTTGGAAATTACTTTACGTCGTTGTTATGATATGTATGCCATTCACACTCCTATGCGTTTCATGAGACGGTCTAGGACCTAAAAGACCAACATGCTCAAAACATTATCCACAATAGCAGACACGCCCGTCAACAGAACGATTTCAAATTTCACTGAGAATTTAGGTTTAGTCACCAAGCACCCCTCTCTCCAAACAGAACAAAACAATAAAATTGATACATTCAATAATCGAAAAAAATACAGTAAGCGACTGTTCTTTATAAAAGAAGCCTATGATGTGTCTGCTCAAAGTCTCCAAGGTCTGAGGCAGGTTCAACTCGACATTCACTTACGCTGTTTCTTCGGCCATTTTCGCCGGTTTCGCTGTGGCTCAGGCTCTAAAAGTGGACAAATCAAATAGCACAACGCTAGTTTTTCTTCAGAATGATATACATCTTGTTCCTCATTGAACTATTGGATGATTTAAATGAACTTCAAGGATTCAGAACTTGTTTGAAGGACGAATCAACCCAATGCCCTTCTAAAAAAACAACCTCCGATCAACGAATACCACAATATCAACAACAACAACAATAGCAACAACAACAACAAGAACAACAACAACAGCAGCAGCACCCCCACCAACGAAGACATCTGGCATTGTCATGTTTTTCCCCAGCAAACTGACCACGACCATTTTCAATAAATTTTGAATGTAAAAGGCATAGGACATTTAAACTGGAGTTCCATCTTTGTCGACATTCTACAGGTGGCCCTAGGGCGCTCTCGTGTGGTCTGCTCCTATTACCTCTTCTTAAAAAAATAATACTGCCTTTTAAATGTGCTTCCAGGCAAATGCAGCCGTTTTAAAAATATATACGTTCAGTTTATTTGCAAGTGTATAACAGTTTGAACATTTATTTTGTTCATTCCTGAGCTTTACTTTTGGGGAGAAAGAGACGTCTCTCTGCCACCAGCCAGAGAGCTTGGGTCAGAGGGATGCTGTGAGTTGTTAGTGTTTCCCTGACTCCATCTATCCAGGTCTTTCTCGGTCGCCCGTTTCTGAGCAATGTTTAAAATTCCAAGAACAACTCATAAGTATTAGAAACAATGAGGTTTTTTTTATAGAAATAACTGATGTGAAAAAAACCCTAAACCCTCTAGACCGTTTGAAAATGGAATTCTTATCTGATCGTATGCAATAAGTGGCTACCAGCTCTTCGTTTTAAATAAATCATTGATATTAAAATGCTCGATTTGTTGATATGGACAGTACATAAATCAATCTCACACAATTTTTAGGTGGACTTAAGACTTACAAAACAGAGAAAAAAAAGTTCTTGTGTATAAAAACTACTGGCTTGAAAATACACGAATAATTCCACAGGATAGTAAAACCACAAGCTGTGAAAAAGTCATCTTTGTCTGAATTTAGAGGCATAAAAAAGCAAGTAGCAGAATGTTTTGTTTTAGAAAAAAATTCCAAGCGTGCACGCTAGTAAAAAGAAAAAAAAGTGTGCATAAAGCAAAAACTGATCAGAATGAAACATCTTGAGCTGTTTAGATAGTACTATTGAAACTAAAGGTTGACATTTGGTATATTTGCAGTGACCATTTTCAAGAGGTGGACAGATCATTTGGAATCAGTTTAGAGCTGTGGGAAGAGCTAGGGTATACTATATAAAAGCAGTGAGATAATAATAATAGATAGTATTTGTATAAGCGCAAATCCCCGCTCAACAGCAAGCTCTATGCGCTTCACACTCTATACTATTACCCCAGCAGACCTGAGAGCATTCTGAAACAACTTCAACTTCCTGGAAAGCATACAGATTAGATTGAGGTGAGATGGACAGTAGATAGATAGATAGATAGATAGATAGATAGATAGATAGATAGATAGATAGATAG